TTATTTAAATTAAATAAATATTTATTGAATTATAATAAAAAATATTAGTCCAAAGACTTTTGCACCATACTGTATATCAATTAAGGATCCTAATGATTCTCTTCAATTCTGTATTCGATTCTCAAGTTTATATTAAATTTAATAGGTGGGGTATACTCCACCATCATTTTTAATAGTGCTCCAAACCTTATGTGATTCTATTCGATTCTATTCGATTCCAATTTTCAGAATCATAATATCAATATACAAAAGAAAAAACAAAAGAAGTATACAAAAAAAATATAGGAAAAATAATAAAAATAATTAATAAATTATAGAAAAAAAGATATAAAGAAATTATATAATAGAAAGAGATAAATAATATCAATAGAGTAAATAAAAAAAAGTGAGAATACAGAATATATTAATTAAAAGTAACAATAAATAAAAAAGAAAAAAACAATAAATAAAAAAAAGAATCTGATAAAAAAGTTGTTGGAAAAATGGATTAAAAATATAAACAAAATAATAAGAAACAAATTTATTTATTTATATATTAGTAATATTAATAACAGCAATACCTTGGCATATTAGTTTAACTCTTTATCCAATAAGAAAAATTAATAGCAATAGCTGATATTTAAAGAAATCTCAATATACTGTAGTTTAGCATGTATTCATCAATTAATATTATAGTATAGTTTATATACAGAAATATATGTAAATATTGACTTTAATAAAGTTTGCTAAGTAAAATTTAACTAGTTTAAAAAAAAAAAAAGATTTATGTGTCTATAACACAGTAGTAATACTTCATAGGTCATTAGGAAAAGATTTAGGATTCAAACCCATCTGATTACAAAAATTTATCATCTTCATAATTGGTTAACCGGCTTCCAATTTATATCATATCCAATCAGTCGAAAAAAATAAAAATCAACTTTCAAATCTAATTAAGCTACATAAAGATGAGACCTCTGATCTTCTTGACAATTGCAGGCTAAAAACAAATTGAAACAAGGAAGGTTGCATAAGAAAAGGCTTCTGGTCTAACTCTGGTATAAACCCACAAATCTTAATCCAAACTGACAATGACAGACTCTATTACACACAATATAAAGAAACTAATTCTAAGTTAATCTATTTCAATATGGAGCTTGAAGATCTATTCCAACATGGTATTCTCCTGAACTTAAATTGGACTGAAAGAGTAAAGATTATCTGTCACAAGTGGTAACAATCCAGGCAAAAACCATTAAAACCAAGTGAGTTTAGTGAGAATCATCAAGATTAAATTAGAATCCAAGTAAGGATATCAATTCCACAGGTGGTGAAAATGGTAGTATGATGTTATGCTAGTAATATATCTTGAGGATTGGTGATAACAGTAACTAGAATACTGGAGTTAATTTCTATAATAATATTTATCTAACCTTCTCTTGGCGGGTAGTCAAAAAATACAATTGGATTAATAGAATGATAGGTTTAAACTAGTAGTAGAACTTTCTCTATCCTGTGTAAGTCCCACCTGATACAAGCCTATCTACTTGATACAAGCTGATCAATTAGGGTAGTCAGGTTGGTTTTTGGAAAACCAGTACTACTGGAAATAATAATTACTAGGTAGCATTAATTTACATTCTAGAAAGCAATAGTTTAGTCTATAAAGATGTTTGATGTAATAACAATACTATTAATTAGTAAATAAAGTCTTGTATCTAATGCCTTTAGCCAACTTAAAAAAAAAAATAATAATAAATAAATAAAAAAATAAGAAAAATACAAAAAAAATAAAGAAAAAAAAAATTATTATGGATTATTTTTATATAATTAAAAAAAATAAGATTTTTAAACTGTAATTAAAAATTTTATTCTATTGTATCAGTTGTTTGAAAAATTTCAAGTTTTTGAGCTGAAATTTAATTATAATAAAAAATACAAAATAAATTTTTTAAATAAGAATTACTATAAAAAAATGTTTTTTAATAAAATAAATGTAATTAGAAAAGAATTTTTTTTATTTAAAATAAATATTAAAATATTTTATAAAAAAAAATAATACAATTTAAGTTTATAATACCTGACTGTAAAGATTATTATTAGTATCCGCAGGTTTTAATTACGTTGAATTTTAATTCTATTCAATAGATAAACAATATATTATCTAAAAATTTACTATTAACAATAAAAAATTTAATGGTTTTTATAAAAAAAAATTTAATGGTTTTAATACACAATTCAAATTGATTGTAAATCAAGTCATATATACAAGCTATACATAACACGACCGTGTTACATAAACTATGTATATCATTGCACAAAGGTGATCCAAAGAGAGTAAGAGTCAGACCTGTTTGACTTCACTTTGACACAGATCTGGTGAGTGAGTCCATATAACGCTCTCAACAACAAAGCTTTACCTTCGCTTGAAAACTATTTATATGAACAAAATGTAAAAAGAAAAACCGTTCGCTTAGAATGATTGAAACACTTATCGTTGTGAATCATTTAAGATTAAATCCACTAGAAGACCAATGAAACTCAGAAAGAAACAGTACTTGTCGAAAAACTTTCCAAATACTTTGCTCCACATATACATTTTTGAGTTTACTGGTCATCCGGTTCTTTTGAAAAACTCTCTAGTTGAAACACTGCTTATTGACGAACCTCGTCCTTTGGTTGCGCTCTTTTTTTTATTGTACACTCTTCTACATAAACATTTCCCTTCTCCCCGTCGGTTTTTTTTTTGACTTTGTCCGACCACAAACCCTCAAGATAGAAGTCAAGAACTAAGCATAACAAAGCATGAAATCTCACCTTTTTTTATTTTTCTGACCTTTGGATTCGTTATAATCTTTGTGTAGAACAGATAACCTTGTTCTACAACAAATACTCCTTGCGCCTTTTTCATCGATAGAAGTCACAACGACCTTGTTATATACCTCAGCTTGAAATGAACTCTAAGCGGCGCATCGATCATTCCGACGACGAAGGTCCTCACCATAGTCGTGATAAATTTACACGTGAACGTAGAAGCAGTACCGAACGCAGGGATACTCGGGACCGAGATAGAGAACGTGACCGTGAGCGAGATCGTGATAGAGAACGTGATCGCGAGAGGGATCGAGATCGCGCAACGTACAGTGATAGACGAGCAAAGAGGGATAACTCTTCTCCGGAAGATAGAGGTGGTTAAAGCTTTAAACGAATATATTCATATCTCGCTAACGATAATTAATTAAATGCTAAATTTAAAAATTAAAATAACTTTTTTAGAGTCGTCTACAAACTACCTAGATAGACGTTCGAAAAGAAGACGATCGATTACACCTGACTCGAGAAGGCCACCGCCTCCCGATGGAGGCGATCATTATATTCCTAATTACGAAAAGGAGGGATATACACCGGGTCCCAGGTACAACGGCAAACCGGGAGACATACGTTATCAACCGCATGGATTTCCTGTTGGTTTACACATGGGTACGTAAATTTTGTTGAAGAGACCACATTTAATAGGATGGAACGAGAATACTCAACATTTATCATTTACAAATTAATCACAGGATTCAGCGTTCCTGCCCCGCCCATGATGACTCCCGGAGGGCCCCTCATGCCGATGGATTGGACAGCACAAGGAAGGTAAGTTATGAGATTTAATTCTATTATCTTATTTTTAATCGCACAAGGGGTTTCTGAATGGCATTATGACAAATTTCTAAATTTGCAGACAAGAGGCACTAAAAGATCCCGATCAACTGGATTTCTTAGTGACTTTCAAATACTTTGCCGAATTCCTTCAATCGTCGCAACCTAAAGCTCGATTTACTGATGATGAATTGCACAAGCGATATAACGATTATAAAGAAGCCTTCGGTGTTAAGCAATTGAAAACCTTTTTCGAAGCTCACAAAAAGGAAGAATGGTTTCTCGAAAAGTACCATCCAAAGCATATGGGTCCAAGAGTTGAGGCAACCAAAATATTGAAAAAGAAAAATTGCAATCAGTTTCTTAATGATCTGAAAGAAGGCCTTTTCGACAACATCATCAATGACGTGGTCGAAGATAATAAGGAAGATATGAAAGTAGATGGTATGTCATTATGGAAGTTCTAAAAGACAGCTATTGACTGATTTTAATGATTTTATGTACCATACATTGTGTACAGATAACAATGTGGAGAAGAACGATCCCGACGAAGATGCTAACAGGCTTTTCATAAAGAGTGTTTCGCCGAGTATTGCCAGACAAAAGATCGAAGATGTAATTTATATGTTGAATTTTTTTTGTTGTTTGAATGATAGTAACTTGTGTTATTTTCTTTAAAGATGTGCAAAGAGATATCGGGGTTTAAATATCTCGCGTTGTCCGAACCCAATCCTCAAAAAAAGTTTCATCGCTTGGGATGGATCGTTTTTGAGGAAGGAACAGACATGGATAAAGCATATGAAAAGCTTAACGAACAAAAGGTAAATTTTTCTATTTATATATACGAAAGCGCGTACGAAATTTCTCTAATCTAATCATTAATTCGACTAGATTGATGAATTTGTCTTTTACCTTGCTCGCCACAAAAATCAAAACGGACCAGTTCGCAATCGCACAACGCCCGACATTGCGAATCAGATTGACCGTTTGAAAAAGGATTTATCATCTGCGATTAAACTCATTGAAAAGTTAGACAAAGATGTGAACGATTCGTTGAATGGAGTCCAGGCAATTAAGCAAAGACTTGTGCTTCTCGAGAATGACGAACAGCGTGACGAGACAATTTTGGTATAAAGCATTGTTTGGTGTTAAATTTATCACAAAAATAGATGTACTTCAACTAAAGTCGCTTCATAACAATCCAGGTTAAAAGGGCATTAGATATTCATATTGAATACTTGCGTCGCGTACACCTCTTTTGCTACTATTGTGGTAGTGAATCGGATTCTGTAGAGGAGCTTAATAGAAAGTGTCCTGGTCGTCATCTTAGAAGTGTAACTGGAGCTAATGATTCAAAGTCGGCAGGTAAGTCTCAAAAGGAGAAGCAAGTCAATGGTAGGTGTGAGTTATGTTTAGAAACCACATCACAACCATAAATTGGCAAGTTTATATATATTATTATTATTATTATTATAGCTACGACTTGGCTAAAGACTTTAGACAACAAGATCAGCTACAAGACGGACCCTTTGAAATTCGAAAACGATATTGAAAAATATGGCGGACTTAACGTCAAGACGTAAATATCATGCTATTTTATTTTTCACGATTTTCTAACGCATTAATACGTCATACCTAAATAAATCGCTAATTTTTACTAAACTCAGCGTTATTGAGGCATTTTATGGCGAAAACGTCATTGAAGTGGAAACCGGGCGTAAATTCAAGTGTAATCTATGTGCAAAATTGTTTAAGGGTTCCGAGTTTGTTAGGAAGCATATTGATTACAAGCATCACAGTATGGTCGAAACTACCACCAGTGAGGTTAGTTTGATCTTTAGCAAATCTTACGAACGCAAAACCAATAATCTAATGCGGGGGTTATTTTTTTTTTTATTAGGCAAAGTTCTACAATAACTATGTTCTCGACCCGAATCACCTCCTTCCTACCACTCCGCCTAATCCCACAGCGGCACTTAGTGGTCCTTCAAGTGTCTCTGCCCTTCCACCTAATCCTTTCCCTGTGATTGCTAATGCACCACCACCACCATTTATGAACTTCGGATTTCCAATTGTTGGAGCTGCCGCTGGGACTCCTCATGATCAAATTCCGAGAATTGGATTCGATGATAGGGATGATCGAGAACAGCGTACTCCCAGGCCTGCAGGTGATCGTAGAAGACAAACATCAAGTTCTAGACCGAAGTAGGTCCTTTGCTTGTCTTCCTTTAAATCTTAGATGGTTTTTAAAAATTAATAGCATTAATTATTTTCGATCAGGTTTTAATCTTTACCAAATTATGTTCCATTTAAAAGCGATTTCAATGCGAGCTCAGATCCTCGGCAAGTGAAATCTTATGTTGACCTAGATGCGCCGGCCGAAGGAGATATCGAGATCAAATATTGAAACTAGAGGATTTTAATAATGAATCTCGCGGTGACTGGCAAGAAAAAAAAAGACGAAAAAAAAAAAAAAAATTTTTTTTTTTTTTAATCTTTTTTTTTTCCTTTTTTTTTTCCCTTTTTTTTTTTTTTTTGATTAATAACATTGGACTCTTCCGGTTCGTTCAACAACGAATCAGTTAATATTTCCTTATTCTGTCTAAATGATAAAATCTATCTAATATTTATATAAAGTTCGAAATATCAGCAATCATATATAGGGTTTGAAGAATAAGAATGGTTTCAGGTACATTACATTGTACCATCTTCTTTATACCATTCCAGTGGGGTCTGATCTGTATTGCCTTCATTAGGATTTTAATGAAGGATGGGTTACAATCGATATTTATGAACTCATACTTCAATAAAGAGAGTAATTCTTTATTACTTAAATTTATTTCACAAAGATTATGTATTTGTTTACTAAATCACCATTAAAAAAAATAGATACTTTTGTAAAGGTGATTTTCACTGAACTCTTCCAACCTTATTATATTTATTACTGAAATGTTGGAACCATTCGTCTAAAGTCTTTAACTATTTTATATAAATAATTGATAAGTAAATTTTTGAAAAGATAAAAAAAAAAAATAAATAATGACAAGATGATTTACCTGTTCTTCATTCAAAGTGCTATAATCGGCAACAGCATGTTCAGGTTGCAAAGAACCCATGCCAAGACCCTGAAATATTTGATCGTCATGAATGAAACATGGCTTTAATAGAAAAGAAGCACTTGCCGCTCACCTTTGAAACGTCTTTGCCGGCAAATAGGTGATAACTACCGCCATGTCCGTATGCCTGACGGTTATCCGACACATCAAATACTATACCCTTGACGGCAACGTAAATTGAACCACCATCTCTCCCATCGAACTAATTATGAGAGTTTGAAAGTTCGACAGCTTTCGAAATAAATAGACAACGCGCAATGAACGAAAGGAGGATACCTTTGAAAGTTCTTCCGGTGTGTATGGCGTGTCCAATGGTGGCGCCAAGTCTTTTTTTGGTACAGCTGGGGGAACTCTGCTGTTAATACAGTAAAAATTTTTAGAAGTTTAATTTGAAGCCTGATGTGTTTTTAAGGTAAATTATTTTGGTTCGATCATGAACTATTTATTCTTCTTACCTCATTGCAAAATCAAAAAAATAAATTAAAAAATGTGAACAGAATTTTTATGATGTACAAAGCGCTTTTATCTTTTAATTTATTATTTCATGTGATGATATCCATATATGGCTAACCTCAATGTTACTTTAAGTTACTTTATTTTTTTTGACCAAATCATTAATTTATTACAAAATGTTAGAAAAAAGTCGATTTAACCCATTCCACAAATAGCCAAATCTTTCATTTTTTGTAAAACCTCGTCAACTCTGCTGTCCACAGGTGCTGATTCATTAGGGGGAAAATAATCTTGCAAAGGACTCAAACTATCATAACTTTCTTGGCAGAATTTGAGCTGAATTTTTACCAACGCCTCAAATGTAGGGTCCAGGTATGGAACTCTAAGATCAATTAACCTAGGCAATTCGGTTATTAATTGACTATTCAATGACTCATAAAGTTCTCGAGCCATATTTGATACTTCTTCAGCCTACAGAATTTCAATTTAATTCATTATAAGAAATTTCAACGAGAAGAAAAAGTAAGATTTCTTACCCTTGTTAATTTACTGGGATCATCTGATGGCTTATCAACCAGTTTGCGAACTTTGGCACGCTGTGAATCATAGTCCAATAATTTTTTTTCACGTTTTTTGATAGCATCATTTATGTGGGGGAAATAAGCACAAAAACGACCAATAGGCTGTGTTACAGTTTGACCATATGGTTCTTCCTAAATGACAAGATGCTTCGATCAGCATTATGAAACATTTATCTCTTAGAAAGACAATTATACAAACCAACTCGCTTCGGCATTTCTGTTCTAAATCGCTAATAGCCTCTTTGTATTTTTTTCCCGCATATTCATTGTCAATTGAATCTTCGTAAAACTGGTGAATTGTTTCAGCGATACGTAATTGCGCACCATTCATAGCTTTTATAAAGAGGACAAGGTGTCAAGAAAAAGGGAATTTCGAACAATAATTATCCCATTTCAATACTGACCACGAAGAGACGTTATATATCCCTTTGCTTCTTTGTGCAATTTTTCCGATTTGGATTCTAGACTGTTGAAATCGAAACTTTCAGTAAATTTCCTACAAGAAAATCTATATATTAACAACTGACCTCTTAAAACGGCGTTCTTCTTCCTCGAAATTTTTGTCAACCTTGAGATGAAATGGTTCAATTTATTAAACTCAAGGTTATGCTCGGGAGAATAACCATTTATTTAACTCACCGTTTTCTCGATCGTACCAATTTTCTGTGAAATCTACAAATCGTAAAAAAAATATAGAATCACGATCCACGAAAGACAATAAAAAAAATAGGAATGAATAATAGTGAGGGTACTTTGGTTCCAGTGCGATCTATCTTCTTCTTAAAACCTGACCTGTTTAAAAATCATTGCAATCGTTATTAAAATAAAATTCGCGATAGTCTGCAATAACGTGTAAGCAGGTAAAAATAGTAATTACCAACTCATTTTATATACTCTATTGCAAGGAGATTATTATTAACTTTGAGGAATAGCGATAAGTTTGCGCAGTTTCTAAAACTATGCTCTTGCTTAGATCACCATTCGTATATTTCAGTGGTCGCTCTTTTAATTGGCTGCGACATACATGGTGACAACCGTGTGACAACAATAAAAGCTTCGTACGTACTGCATCGCATACATTTTATACGTGTGCTTATTTCTAATAGATTAATAATAGTAAACAAAATATGGGAAACGAAGATGAATTTTACGTCCGCTATTAGTAAGCATTCTAGATTTTACACTTTTTGATCTTTGTCCTTAGAGGGCTAAAAAACGTTACGTGTCTTTTTGTTCTTTAGTACTGGACACATGGGGCGTTATGGACACGAGTTTCTTGAGTTCGAGTTTCGTTCTGACGGAAGGTGTCGTTATGCCAACAATTCAAATTATCGTAATGACAGTTTAATTCGAAAAGAAAGTAAGAGAGCATTTTATTTGATATAACGTTGTATTCCATTCTGCGGGAGAATATGGAGTCGTTATTTTATTTCTGGATTTGTTTCAATAGTGTATGTAGGCCCTCTGATGATGAAGGAATTGAAACGAATCATTCAGGAAAGTGAAATCATGAAGTAAGTTCCTTTCAAATGATAAGCTTCCTATTTCATGAAGTCTTCATTGACGTGGATTAATCATAATAACACAGAGAAGACGATCAACGGTGGCCAAAAAGGAATGTTGTTGGTCGTCAAGAACTCGAGATTCGATTGGGTAACGAACACATATCATTTGAGGTAAACGTTGATATTAACTTGTAATCTTGAGTATGCGTTTATATAATAACATTTAAATGTTTATTGTAACGTAGACTGCAAAGATTGGTTCGCTCGTAGATGTGCAAGAAAGTGACGATCCCGAAGGTTTACGTGTCTTTTATTACTTGGTTCAAGATCTTAAATGTTTGGTCTTTTCGCTGATCAATCTGCATTTTAAGGTATTTAAATAATTTCTGCGAACGATGTTCGAATTTAATGTGCCTATCAACGAGTATGTTGGCTCTATTGACGTAAAAATTTCTTGTTACTTTAGATCAAACCTATCTAATGGATGAACCCTTTAGTAATAAAGAATCTTAGTTTTCACATCATGACACCACATGTTCTTTGAAACATGTCACAGTATTCATATGGTAATTGCTCAAATGATTTCTACCTTGGCTCGACGTTTCCTGTAAATAGGATTGATTAGTCTTGTATAAATTTACGAATCGCTTGCCGTTCATAATCGACTATAATTAAGAATTTTTTTGGGGTTAACTTGAATTTCTGACAATTGATAAACCGAAATTCGTTCGAAATGAGCAATGCTAAAATATGAAGAGATTGTGTCAAATAAAATTTTCATCCAAACAACAAATATCCCAGATGCTTACTTTTTTTACTCCAGTGTTTCAAGATCACCTGAAACACGTTATTAATAATCAATTATACAATTCACATTACGTTATGTATTTGTTATTAATAATGCTGAAGTACTAATTGAAACCCCATTAAAACGAAGTTCACTTAAAAAACCAACCTGTTGTAAAAAAATCTCGTTAAACCGAATTTACTAAGTAAATCTTTTTAAACTGAATTTTTCAACTTTTTTTGACTAATAGTTCCAACCACTTCAGTTTAATAAGGTTTGATTTCAATTAAATATTTTATTTTTTTTAAAAATTTAAAATAAATATACTGTAAATAATTGTTATATTAACTAAGAAATAGTAATAATTTTATTATTTTTAAATTTTTAAAAAAGAAATACTGTCAACCCTCCATAAAAGAACATCATATAAAAACCTTTTTTTTAGAACATCACATCAAAGAACTATTAAACTTATAGAAAAAAACCTTCATATAAGAACATTTCTTTATAAGAACATTTTTTTCAAAAAATCACTATGGTTCCAACTTGGTTCTTAAATAGAGATATGACTATATATTGTAAATAATTGTTAGTTAATAATATTTTTATTTTTAAGTAATAAATGTGATAATTGATATCTAGATAATATATTACTATTTTATATATAACAATCATAAATTATTTATAAGTTTAATGTTACTTAATATTATTTTTAACATCAACTTGCCTATTAACTTTGATATATTCAGTTATATGATTTATTATCTTATAAGTAGATTTATACATTAAAAAATTTTATTTTTTTAAGAAATTTAAACTATTGCTTATAAAAAAATTATATTAAAAATTATTATATAAATTAATCCAATTTCCATTAACCTTTATTATTAATTCTTAAAAAATATTATCAATATAATACAATATACCTTTTTTTATTACTTGTAATTATAATATTTTTGTTAAAATTTATATTTAAGCTCTATACAATTCTTACAAAATTTATTTGACTTAATATATATATATATTTTTTAAAGTAGATAAATATTATCACTTTATTAATCGTAAAATTGTTTAAAATTTATACATGAAAAAAGTGACAACATCTCTTATATAACTTGCTAAGCTAATAAGTCTAATGTTAGTTTGCCTACAGAAACTATCTAAGCAACATGGAAAATAAATATTAAAACTGATATACATTTTAAATAGTGCCAAGCAGCTATAAATACCTACTCAGATTTATATATAAAATTATAAGAAATTGAAAATTGAAGAAAAAAGAAAATACTAAACAAAAACAAAAAAAATAAATGCAAAAATATTAATTTTGAAGCTGTGAATGCTATTAGGCATGCTACGCTGGTAGTTCCATTTAACTGAAGTACTGTTGCACTTCCAGAAATGGCTAGGCTACTGTTCAAAATATACAATAGTGTTGATAGTATATCTTTTTGGTAGATGATTAGTCGTGGTAATGGTATTGTTGTTGTGATGATGTGATTTGTGATTAGTTTGTTTGTTAATAGTGTGATTTTGTTTTGGTTGTTGTTACTATAAAAGGTTTTGTTTACATAGATCAAAGTGTAGTGTTTTAGTTATACAGATTTGTTTGGAAAATTGATAGTATTTGATTGATTGAGTTTAGAATGTTGATCAATTAACAGAAGTAAACTGATTGCAATTTTTTGGTATAAAATTTTTTGAGTGAGATTTTTTGATTTTTGGTGGTGCAGCAAAATATACTGGGTAATAGTAAGAAATAAACATTAAATATATAGTATTACTGATGCTCCAAGTCAACAATATAAACAATTTTAATGTGAAGTTTAGTTTTTTGAGATAAAAGAAAGTTCTTCAAGTAACAAGTATGGTTATTTAAAAAGATTTGTGTATTGAAAAAAAAAGAAAATGGGAAGAACCACAAGGAAGATTTATAAAAAAGTAACTGTCATAGGCTTTTCCTCATGCAATTCAAAGAAAAAGCAAGATCTTCAAACTTGCTTTTCTCTGGTCAGAGGTTCCATCCCGATGCACCAGTATATTTCTTTAATTTCCTTGAGACTCTTGTAGTGAAAAAAAAAGAAGTGTAAAGGACTTTTGAGTATTGAAAGGCAAAAAAAATATTTGTTTCTTTAATTTTGAAGAAAAATTACTATAAAGAAAAATTTTTAAGAAAAAAGTTGTGTATGAGAAAAAGTTTTTTTTGACTTAATATGTTTTATTTTATTTTTTATTATTTATAATTAATAATTTTGTTTTTTAATTTATATTTTTAAACAATTAAAAAAAAACTCTCTCCTGATCGTGTCCATTTTGTTAAAAATTTTTCTTTTATGGTAATTTTAAGCAAAAAAAAATGTTTTACATTCTTTATCACAAGTGAGCCCCAGCTCAGGAACTCAAGACCTTCAAGACAACTAGTGCAGTAGGATGGGACTTCTGATTGAAGTCTATTCAAGTTTGGGAGTCTTGTTTATTCTTCGGTTGCATGAGGAAAGGCCCGTGGCAGTTCTCTTTTCTTCAGTTCTCTTGCACCCTACCTTACTCTTATTATATCATAAAAACCATATACATTATCACTATCATACTTGCTAAGTCAAACACTTTTCAAAACATATTTACAAATAGAGTTAGTGGATCTACTGTTTGTTTTAAATCAACCCACATACACAATATTTTTATAATAATATTTGCTGCACTATTTTCATTTTCCAAAAAATTTTCATCCAAAAAACTGAAATCAGTTTACCCCCTCAAGATGATCTGCGCTCCTCAATTATTCAATCAGATTTCACTTAAAGATCAAAACAAAACTTGATCAAGTTTAAACAGATTTTGTACCACAACAACAATCACAACAACAATAACAACTAACACATGACCAACAACTATAACAACCAAACAATATTACATATACTCTATTATTTATGGTAACCGATGAGCTGGAAAGATAAGATCGCGAGCCTGTCTAGGGGCTTTCGAGGGGAAATAGTAGTTTTCTATCTATATATTATAGTTTACTTAACGTAGTTTTAGCTATAGTTACTTTTATTTTTCTTTTCAATTTTTTACATTTAAAATCAAAAGAATTCGCAAAATTTTTTGAGTAAATAGGCATAGCTGCTATTCAGGCACAGCTAGTATATAATATTGTTTTGAATTTCTTTTTCAATATTAGCTAGATATATTTGCATAGGCAGGCTAGCATTTAACTTGTTACACATATATGTAAGAGATGTTGTTTCTTTCATGATGTATATCATGTTATATACAATATCAAATAAAAGAAATAATGCTTACCTATGAGAGGAAACCCCCCAAAAAAAAATTTATATTTTTAAACTTATAAACCATTATATTAAAATACATTATTAAAATATAAAATTAAAATACAATAGGACTTGTCTAAATACATACTGTTGGGACTAACAAATTTTTATACATTTAAACAGAATATGCATATATATATTTATATATAAATATTCCTTTTAGTATTAAGATTATAATTTATAATCATCAAAAGAAATTTCTGTCCATAACAGAAAATGCTAAATTACTCAAGAAATTACTATCTCAAATGCTTTTGAGATCTTAATAAAAGTTGTTTATATAGTTATTTTTATACATGTGGCATAAATTATTTTGTTGTTGACTCAATTCCCAAAATCCTCAAAAATAATTGCGTCATGACTCAATTATTTATATGTTTT